TAAGTATGGACTGAGTGACCATTCTTCCTGGGCCACAATTCGGACCTCTGCTTGATGAAAATTCTACTCACTGGACATCCTTGGATTTTAATTCACTACCCCTGCTCTAAGAAATATGAAAAGGCATGCAAATATACATGAGACCATTGATTTTAATGCAGTTATTTTCGGGAGAAATTAAACCTTGCTTCAGTGAAGTGTAAGAGTACCAGGAAATATGGCAGTCAATAAGCTAAGTTTGTCTGAAGAAAGGCCAACAACAATGGCCTGCATTACCTTTTAGATTCACTGAGTCCGTTTTAGACAAGTTTATGAACACTTTCTCAGGGTTCCATCTGGTCTTCCATTTTAAGTTCAGGTACAATTGATAGCTGAAATCTCCAGTTACTGATGTCTGTGTTGTTGAAATCATTCCCTCTGTCATCTTTTTCATTATATGCTATATACAGTAATACCTTGGTTTACAAGTAACTTGGTTTGAGAGTGTTTTGCAAGACAAGCAAACATTTCTGAAAAATTTCAGAAATGTCTTACAAAATTTTGTAGAAAAGCACCACAGAATAAGGCTGTAGCAGTGCGAGCGATGAGTCTGTTTAACGACAATGCAATGTCAAATTGCATAGATTCCTTGTTAAGGTTTCATGAAATGAGAAAGATTCCATTGAGCCGAGAGATAGCAGTGATTCCGTTAGTGATAGTGAAAGTCGTCCTACACAATAATCCTCCTCTCTCTTGTCCCCCTCACCCCAGCCACGAAGGTAACCAGAAATTGGTTTATTTTTCTTTATATTTTGTACAGTAATACTGTATTGTATTGTAATAATTTTTATATGAATATTTTTGGGTTGTGGAACGAATCATCTGAATTTCCATGATTTCCTATGGGGAAATTCGCTTTGATATACAAACGCTTTGGATTACAAGCATGCTTCCGGAACTAATTATGCTCGTAAACTAAGGTATTACTGTATACACCAACCAAGAGCCATGTACCACATACAGTATCTTCGCTCCACAGTATTGCTTATTAATCATTAACATATTTGGCTTCAGGATTTCTGAGACAATAAAATGAATTCAGAATTTAACCATTTGTGCTTAATAATGTGAAGGGAGATGTTACCTTCCAGAGACCAGAATATAATTTGAGATGATTAGTAGGTAATAAACTTTGCCACTGCTGTTTGAAGGCAGCAGATGGGTTAACGGCAGCTCAGAGTGCAGGCCCCCATTTGTTACTTTAGTGCTAAAATCCTCTGCTGACCTGCTTAGATTAATCTCCTCAGAGTTCGTTATTTCTCTATCCTTTTTTGTTCTCAAGGCAGCTGGATTTCTGAACACTCTGTGGAGATGTTTGCTGGGTGCGGCAGGGTAATAGGCCCATGTACATGTGGACGGCTGTCATGCATTGCTCTTGCTTTTAAACCAAGTTGGTTCCTCCTCAGTTGTCCCTATTTTTGGTCTGATATACAGGCCTCTATAAAAAAAACAGTTACTAACTCACTACTAAGTGTCTTAATGCACTGAACCTATTACCTGACCACTGAATTATTTTAATTTTGGTGTTTTGAACAGCCAATATAAAGGAAAATCTATGATGGAAAAAATAAACATTTGTTTGGGATAGTTCTGCAGCCTTATGTAAATTCATTATATCTGTATATTCATTTAGTAAACTATGAATTATATATGAAATATATTGGAGGCAGTCTTTTTAGTAATTTAAAGAGAACCTCTTAATCTGCCATTGATGGCTTGTTTTTCCAAGTGGAGGTTTCCAAACTGTCATCCTGATCCTGTCTTTATCCCCTTAAGGACAAATGCCTTTTTTTAATTTTTTTTGTTTACATGTTATAATCCACATTTTAGGCCTGAAAATTACTTAAAACCCTCAAACATTATATATTTTCTGAAAGCCCAGTCCCTATAGAATAAAATGGTGGCAGTTGCAAATTTTTATGTTGCACGACATTAGAGCAACATATTATCAAAGCCAAACATTTAGTGAAAAATGCACTTTAGTGCCCCAAAACACTATATAAAACCACTTGCTTGTAAAATATAAAAGATGAGGTTACAACGAGTATAGATACCCAGCATGCCCAGGTTAAAAATTGTGTGCGTCCGTGAAACTGCGACAGGGTTCAGTACCCCAAAAAGTCCATACACAACGCTTTAAAAGCTCCTACAGGTCATCAGTTTAGAGAGGTGTAAGTATTGGCCCTAGAATTATTGCTTTCACTCCGGCATGCACGGCGATATCCAACATGTGTAGTACAATCGTCGTGACGACACCCGTGCTTGCAGGGGCGGGGGACTTAAAAAAAATTTTTACTTTTTTTTTTACATTTCATTTATTCTTATCTTTAAAACTGTTTTTAAAAAAAAACTTTAATTGCTATCACATAGGGGCGCTTACAAGACCCCCATGTGATAGCTTAATGGCAGTGACAGGTAATCTTTAAGGTGATGCTAGGGGTCCAAAAGACCCCTAGTGTCACCTTTACACTCTACATAAGCTATTGAAGTGCTGACCGCACTTCAATAGCTGATTGCTGGGCTTCAGGAACCCAGCACTGACAGCTATGGGACCGGAAGTGATGCAATACATGTTGCTCCCGGTCCCATAGAACGGTGAGGGGATCAGCGAACGGATGTTCGCTGCCCTCCTCCCCAGCTTCCCGTTGACACCCGGCAAGCCGGTCTCGAGCCCGTAGGAGGGGCAACAGAGCCTGGGAAACATGGCCGAGGTGTTAGTAATACAATCCCTAATGTCCAGGAGTACTTGGAAATCACCAGCTTCTATGAAGGGTTACATATTTTAATAAGTAGAAAAAAACTGCTCTCGCCCACCCACAACTTATTTCAGTATAACTGCTGCATATCATTAGTGTCTGAATGCCATGGCTAGGAATTGCTAGGGATAGTATGTTGTCCCAGGTTAAAATAAAAATGGTGTCAATTTATGTGCACAGTGTGTTATCTTCCTCTATTGATAGAAATATACTCTTAATAAGAGTGACTGCAATTATTTATACCATTGTCATAATTTTAACATGTTATGTCTTAATTTAATTAGCAGCAGTATCTCATTTGTTATAACCAGATAATTGGTGTTTTCCTGAACAACAGAAGCACAGGAATCAGGGCAAACAGTACTGAAACCAGCTTGACTCCACTCTGGTAATTTAGAGTCAAGATATTTTATAAGCCTAACAGATTGCTATGAAAAGTGGGTACATTATATTCTTGGAGGCCTTTTATTTTGGCTCTAGTCCAGCATACTCAACACTTGTACAATATAGTATGAGTTAATTATTGGAAAGCATTTGAGTAGTTATAACATAGTTAACATTTAAGTTCACGTTTGAAATGGATGAAGGCTCGCCATCCTAACTCTGGGCCAATTTCCCATCAAATTTTGTTTAGTTCACAACTTTAAAAATCAGAGACTTACTCTAAATGCCAATCTGCAGATTCCATTATTTGCATTAACAAATGGCAACTAAACATTCTTTGAGCATATAGTATGCTGTGATGCCTGATTTTATTACCATCCTCCTCATTAACAATCACAAAGAATATATATTCTCGCATTTTCAGCTTAAATGCCAGCAGGCAGTATAATTTTAGCTACAAGCCAAACATGATCACACAATAAATAAATCATGCTCACACATTATTGTAGTGAAATTGAAAATAATAATAGGCACTTTAGGGTGAAGTGAAGCAGTACTTTCACATCCGTGCACTAGCACACCTTCCTAATGCTTGGTAACGCAGTTTGGTGTGTTGTACTGGCAGCAATACTATATGCATAATTTTTGGTGTGTTAGCCTATTCAAATTTATGGGTTAACTTATCACAACACATGTTAGCATGCAATGCAACCTGTCTCTTTAAAAACGGCTAAACTGACCTAGTTGGTGGGAGTGGGTTCTGTGACATTTATTGAAAATTAAATATGGATTTTTCAGAAACTTTATAGATATGAACACGTATAGAGATATTTCATGTAAATCCAACATTAGATCAAAATAGAAGTGCTGAATATGTTCCTGGAACTATAAACTTTCCATGCTTCTGAATCACTTGCTCTGTGTACAAGTAGTTTGCAGATTATGATACATCCATGCTGTCTATTTCATTTATGTACTGTTTAGATGGTGAAGACCCTGAAATCATGTGATTCATGACAAATACCCTTTGTTTATTTTAATTGTATTGTAAGATAACCCATCGTAAACGTTCTTTAAACACTCTGTATGTAAACCCAAATGTATCTTTCAGTATGTTTGGCATCACGTCTCGTGTTTACAATTTTCTGCAAAAAAAAGCATTTCCTGTTGCAGTTTGACAACTGCCTTACATTCAACAGCAGCCTTGTTGGCTTGTTGCATGCACTCCTCCTGTTGGGGTGTCTATGAAATAGGCAGCACTTGACCAGCTGAAGGGGGGCATGTGTCAGGCTGACAACACTGCTGCAAACTGAGAGGCAGTGGCTTAGTGTTGTCAGACTGCAACAGGAAGTGCTGTTACTGGCAGGATTTCCAGGTAAAAAAAACAACAAAAAACATTAAGACATATTCATAAAGAAATTGCTTAGAAAAACAATACATTATACCAATTATAGCAAACATACTGAAATGATTTTGGATTTTCATACACTTTAATACTCTAAACGTAATTTAAAGTAGGAAATATGCTGTGTTTTTTGTAACTTTTCTTTCTAGCGAGCTGTTTACTTCACATAATCTCTGAGAGTGTGTGAAGGATCTACGCTGACAGGTTAAGCATTTACTGCTGCAAAGCTGACATTTTGTCAGGTTTAGTTTACACATTCAGCATTTAATACTTTATTTTAATGCTCTGACAGTTGCTTTCCAAAGCATCACAGAATAATAAATTTGAGAGCTGGAGCTGACTACTCTACATCCACCAGTATGCTAATTGTTCACCTGCACTGTAAATGAATGTAAAATATTTTTTTCTTCTTTCAGTGAACGGTTCTTTGTAAGGCTGAATAGGAATGGGCTGCCGAAATCTCCAGAGAAGACAGAAAGATACAGTTCTCTCTTTGTTGTAAGTGTGATGTCTGTGATGGATTTCTTCATGCCTGCAAAACTCAAGTGGAGTCTTGTTCAAGTGTAACCATTTCAAAATGAATTGTGTTTTAATTGATGAGAATTACTGCTGCTAAACCTGAACGTTATGAATTTTAAGTGGCAGAATTATTATATAGCTAATAAGAAACAGTGGAGTTTGTTTTATTTAGCAGGGGTGTACACTAATCTTTTTTCAGCAGCCTTGGATAGTTATCTATTGTCGTTCAGCATTATAGAGTATATTATGTAAAGTACGGGTTATTTAGTAGAACATTGCAACCAGCAGGAATGATATGCAAAGTAGAGAAATCCAAAACTAGTAAGATGGCTTCTTTTGCCGATATGATTACTGCAAATCGCACAAGTTCACTTCACCCATAGTATTTTGCGTTTTGAACATCCCAAATATTATGTGGGCTTTGTTGGGCACTGACACAAATTTAAACTTAAGTAGTCTCCAGTTCCTTTGGAAAGTCCACAGTGTACTGGTACACAATTCTTATCTTAGAGGGGGAAAAAAAAACAACTCTCTTGACAGACTACAACATACTCAATGTATTCCTCAACATCATAAAAAAAAAAAAGAAATGTACTGTATACCAAAAAAACTGTGCAAAGGACTGAGGTTTTAATGTTTTGCATTTTTAATAATAGACACTTTTTAAAGGATATAACTCTTTGCACACATTTTTTGGTATATATTATTTATTTGTCTGATGCTGAGAAATAAATCACGTCCACTGTAGTCTGTTAAGACAGCTCTGTTTTTCCCTTGATTGTTTGTTTTCTTGTATCTATTAACTTCTAATTCATCTAAAGTTATTTTTATTAGGTTTCATAACCTCTCTAGCTTGTATAGTTTCACATGACGAAGTAAGACTTGCCTTGTTCAGTTATTCCATGGTCACAAGATGTCTTTTTTGTAAAAATGTATTGTAACCATTTTCCTTTTAAGAATTTGTGTTGGGTATATTTTTACATGAAAGAGAAATTACATCTGGAAGCAGCAAAAAACTTTAAAGAGGGCATCCTATAATTCCATGAATCTCATCTTCACATACTGCAAGATAGACCAGATGTCTTGAGCTTTGGTTTTTGTACTTACTCAATTTCATGTAGTGCACATACTGTACATGCACATATAATCTATAATCTCTGCTATCAACCAATGGGATAAAATGGGTAAACTGTGAAACTTTTAAGAGGTTTCCACTTTTATGTGACTAAAACCCTAACTTGATCAACATAAAATAGTTCTCCGTCGGTTAGTCCATACTAACTCTCCAGTTCAGTTATTTTGTGTCTCTCTGGACAGTGATATATGTCTAAATTTATGGACAAGAAGTGAGGAGGTTAGGAGTTAACACTTACAAATACATTTTGTGACCAGACCATTTAATTTTTTAATATAAATATGTGAAAGTCTTATTTGTGAAAGTAAGCACCAATGATCCTTCCTAGTGGTTGATTTTAACATTTTCTAGCGAAGGTTTCTGAAATTCCCTGCTATGGAAAAATGTTTAGAAATAAATAATTTATTATAGTTTTTCTCATTTCTTTGCTTTTTAAAATATTTGAAATAAAGTACAGTCTTATGAAAAACCAGCCAAAATAACAAGCAGACAAGACATGTGGCTCTTAGTGGGAGTCAGATGGTTCAGTAACCGGTTATTCAGTGTGACTGCCTGCATGTTTAATACTAGTAGTCTGTGTTATAATGTATTTTAAATATGTACAAATGACTGTTCAAATTATGTGTTTTTTTTCCCCTTAGTACTTCCCTTAGAGAGTATAGAGGCTGTACCAGTAGTAACATTCCAGACCCCCCTAAAAAAATCACAGCATATAAGAAGTCGAGAACAATCTTAGTATATAATCAATACATTCTGTGTTTTTTTGTTTTTTAGGACTTAAGTTCAAGTGACCTTCGGAAAGACATTTTCATCACTGTACACATCATCAGAATTGGTAAAAAAAACAACTTTTAATAAATGTAACACTTTGATTTTGAAACATAACAATGATTAGGTTATCGTGCCCTTTTGAAGACGTGAAGAAAGCATCTGAGGGATTCTTCTTTTAAGGCCTTTTGGTTGTGCGGCTCTCAGTATTGCTGACCTTTGCTGTCCTCTGATACTTTTCACAACTCTCCTGGGCTTTGTTTGCAAACAGCTGCATTCACTTACTTTTTTCCATATTTACTGGTTGCAGTGTGTGGTGTTGCTGTACTTGCACAATTCTCTACTGGCTGCACCCTGTTTTTATTATAAGGCCTACTCTTTGATTTTTCAGATTTTGCCTGATGGATAGATTCATGCATTTGCACATTTTTCTCTCTTTGCTTGACATGTTTGCCTTGTCTTGGCCCATGACTCATATGGTCCAACAATGCTCCTTCCTTTCTCTATAAACTGCTGGAACCAGTCGCATTCAAATTTCATTATTTTCTTGTAATCTTTCCTACTTTAATGCTTTCAGTATTGGGGTATTTATTTGCTGCAGCATTCTGCACATACCGGTCTGTCAGTCTTTTTGATACATAATGCCTTCAAGTTCTCTGTAAGTAATTTACTTTCGTGCGCAGAATAATGCACCTTACTTAAATTCCCTTCCTTTAAGGACCTCTGCATCTTAGTAGTACTGGCAAGCAAAACTTTCAGCCCTCGAGATGCTGCTCCCCCTAGATTAAAGGAGAACTATGGGGTCAGTGCTTTTCCCCATAGTTCTCCCCAGGGTCACGGGAAGACACAAACTAGCGTTCTCCCGTGACCCAAAGCTCAGTATACTGCGAGCTACAGCTCGCAGTATACTGAGACCGCCGCAGCCTGGATAGATCCCGACATCACTGTCGAGATCCACTCAGCTGCGTGCTTGACAGCTGGCTCTGCCTATCTAGAGTTGCCATTTATTAGCCCTTGTAATCCTTTTAAGATATTCCAGATGCCCAGCCAGGTGCACAAAAGAACATACAAATCCCTGTCCTCCAGAATGGGCAAATCCTGCTCTGAAACTGCAATAAAGAAATATATTTTTTCTTAAATCATGTGGGTTTAATAAATCCATATTACAACATGTTGCAAGTTCTCATACTGCACTGCTAGCTTATTCATTTGGTGGCTCAAAGTATATAGTAATATAGTAAGGTTTCATTATAGGTTGGAAATGTCAGTTCCATTTGAATTGTTAAATGTAATTGTTTTCTTTAAAGTAATCTTTGAACTAGGGCTGTCTGCTTGATTCCCCCCCCCCCCCCACCCCCTGAATGTAGATGCATATTTTAACTGTTAAAGCTCTCTGATGGATATTGGGGGAAAATAATAGTTTGTACATTTTAACAATGTTCAGATCTTAGAGACAAAAAATATTGTATGCAGCCATTTAGAGTTAATTTACAACCATTCTGAAATGTTATACGTTTTTTACTAATATTTTTAGCTATAGTTTTTTAGTTAGTTTATATCTCTGTTGTATAATGTACAATAATTATTTTGTAAATGTGGTCCAGTGTCTGATGCCATTTCTGTTTTTCTGTATTTTTTTGGTTAGGCCGAATGGGGGCAGGTGAAAAGAAGAATCCCTCAAATGTGCAATATCGGCGCCCTTTTGGTTGTGCGGCTCTCAGTATTGCTGACCTTTTGACTGGAGAATCAAAAGATGACCTCATTTTGAAAGTATATATGTACGTAAATTAATAGCAATAATAAACTTAAATGTGCTACATAGTTGTGCTAGAAGAGTTAAAAAATTTCCAATTGATACCTAGTAGGAAATGCTAAGCCGAGAAATTGATACTAAACAGGGTCATTTACAGAACTGGTACAACACAACTGTGATATAGCTTGCGGCAATCTCTTTAAAAGTTCCTGTCCTAAAGATGTGCTGTAATATATACATTTTCTAAGCACAGCTATGAAGTCAGTCAGGGTCTTGTTCTGCCTGGTGGTGTTTGAGAAGTCATAGTGAATGCTTACTAAGCTGTAATGCAGGGTCACTTTTTCAAATGTACAACTTATCAATAAAGACAGTCTCAGTTGACGAATGCAAGTTGGGAAGCTGTGTTTTGCAGGTATTTGGATTCAGTCATGACTGGAGTCAACACTGAATTCCAAATTAATTTGGTGAATACATGAAGTATAAGCTCACATGTCCACAAAGTGCAAACAAATTAATCTCGTATGGTAGTAAAATTTAGCTATTGTATAACACACCCCTCTAATCATAATAGGCATAATAATTAATCATAATAGGCATAAAAAGCAGAGAAAACGTCTTAATATATTTTTAAAACATGTGGTCCCAAGCCACTTGTTACAACTGTAGGTCATATCTTAATAGATCGTGGACCTCTAGATTAGAGACCTATAGAATATTGTTAATTTCTTGATCATAGAAACGGAGGCAAAATTAATAATGTTGTTTCAATAGCATTCTGCACTGGTACCAGTTTTAAAAACTTCTTTGTTCCCCACCAATGCAGAGTATAATCATAACCAATGTACATTGTAGCAGGTTACTGCATTATGATTTTGCTGCACAGTTTATTTTTTCTTTCCAGGTGCAACACTGAAAGTGATTGGTATCAAATCCATGAAAATATTATCAAGAAAATGAACGCTCGCTATAATCTTACGGGCTCAAATACAGGTGAGGGAGGAGATCTATTTACTACAGTCGTGTG